TGAGATTCAAAACCTGAAAAAATCTAACTAGGTAGTCTGATTTGCCAATGTGAGATGAAATAACTGAGTCTATTCGTTTTTCAAAGCAATGATTATAGTACTCACTATCATTGAGATGCAACATCTGAAAACCTCTAACCAAAAAGTCTGATTGCCAATGTGAGAAATTGTATAATAATAACCAAACCTATTCGTTTTTCAATTAAATGATTGTAGTAATCATTGCTATGGAAAAGCAAAATTTTTAATTCACCTTTTTAATTAGTGGGAATTATTACAGCCATGGTTTAAAATTTCATAAAGATTTATATTTTCAAAGCCTGCCTGCAATAGTAAACATGAGACATTAACCTGTCTTTTACCATTATAATTATTTGTATTTATTGTTAGAGATATATAAACTAATATATAATTTTCTAAACAATCATATTGTTATTAATCTAGTTATTCGATAAATCTATTTTTCAAATGAAAATCACGCAACTTTATTTATTTAAAATCTGAGGACACTTCTATATTGCAAATCAGATCCCACGTATTTGTGAAAGACCTTTTCATGAAATTTATACGAAACCCTGTCTCTTGCATTTAGTATCCAACATAACTGCATGCAGGATATAAAAAAAATCTCCTTCTACTTTTCATGATGGGTGTTAAATCTTTCCGACTGGATTTAAAAGACGAGAAAAGATCCAACGGTGTTCATAAAACACCATTAAGCCACGAACTCAGACACAGATAAACAGTAAAAGCACTCGTAAAAACAACATCCCGAGCACCGTGAAGCGTTAAGATTTGAACGCGCCACTCTTTCCTCTGGTTATCTTTCACTCCTTCAGTAAGCTGAATTTGTGAATTTGCATACATTTTACAGTTTATAAATCAAAGTATTCGACCATCTCTGTCGAACAAGATGTAAAAGGTGGCAGATACAGAAAACGTCCTCCGGTTTCTGTCGTCTTTTACTGTTATTTATGATCCCCTGAAACATTCTCGGTTTTTGTTCTTTTACAATTCTTGAAAATTTTGTTCTGTCGGGGACCAGGATTGGCTTGGAAGAACGAGAGGAATATAAGGACATTAAATCCCGGAGGTACAGTAATGCGATTCTTTGGTAGCCATGCATCATTCTCTCTCGTGTACTCATGAATTTGCACCCCCTGTTGTAAACTTGAAGGGAAGAATTTCTGTTCTCTTATAAGTAGTACGTGGAAAATCTGACAAACAGAGAAGATTCAAGAAGAATTTTACATAACTAAAAGTTTTTTTAACTTTTTTAAAGAAGATCTCAAAAAATAGGAAACCATTTTAACCTTTAAAAGGGTGAATAAAATGGTTAAATAGATTAATTGTAAAGATTTATGATATACAGTAATTTGTATTAAATTGATTAAATTAGATATTCAACTTACTCGTTCATAACATTAAATTATGACATAGATTTCAAATCATATCATAATATATATTTCAAATAAATTATCATATAATAATTTATTTTGATATTATTATATGAGAATTTATTTGAAATATGTATTAATTATTTTGTTTATTAATAATATAATATTTGATATATATTTATTATTAATTATTTTTATATTGTGATATTATAGTTTACAAGGAAGATAAAACATACACAAATAGAACAAATAAAATTATTTCAAAGGTATTTCTATTTTTTTTTTTTCATTTGAAGTCTAAATTCTATCACATTTAAGCTTTATACTCGGTATAAGAGCCATTTTTCTATTTTAATGTCAAAAAATTATTTATAAATGAGACATATATGAGCATACTAATTAATCAAAATCATATTACATAAATCACTGGGATAAAAATAAAAAAATAATGAAATTAAAATATCCCTATATATGGACTTTTAAATTTAACCACTCATACAAATCAAGTAATAAAGTTATAAATACATATTTTGTTTAATTATTTTTAGGATGTGTATAACAGTTAATTGATTAAATTTAGAGAGTAACTGAATATTTACTTCAGTAATATTTTTATAAATATGAGAGATGATTTATCTGTACCTGATAAATGAAGTAAAGAAACGTTTATATATGAACTGATGGTTTACAATAATGTGTTTTGTTAATTAGTCAATCCTTAATACAACCTAGTAAAACACATAGTTTATTTTTTTAGTATTTAAACAAAAATATACAAGATGCATCTCCTGCTACCTATTAAAATAAATTAATTTCATTGTCTCTTTTGAAAACTAAAATTCACAAAAACTTCTAGTTCTTTTTTGTTTTAATAAGAAATTTTAACTATTTTACATTTTCAAAAATTTCTTTTTAATTTAAATTGATACTTTTTAATAAAATCAGAATCAATTAAAACAAATTTAATAAAATTTAATAAAATATATTATTTATGATTTAATAAAATATATTATTTATGATTTAATAAAATATATTATTTATGATTTAATAAAATTCAATGCCTACTATTTTATTATATAATCTAGCAATTTTTTTAAGTATGAATTTCAACGACAGGTTATACAAAGTGTTATATTAGCATTCATACATTTTATTGTGTTAATATGGTGTGTTAACATGTGATAAAATCATACATTTTATTGTATTGTTATTTATGTGTACTAATACATGGTATGTTCACTTACGTTAACAATTATGCCTTTTAATGTATTAATATTCATTTATGTTAACATATGTGTTAACCTGTGTTAAAATGATACATTTTACTATGCTAACATTTATTTGTGCTAATAAAAATTCATGTTAAAATAACAACATGTGTAAAATATATGTGTATTTTATAGTATTAACATGCGCATGTGTATTTTATAGTATTAACAATTATGTGTGCTAGCATATGATTTGTTCATTTGCGTAAACATTGATGCATTTCAATGTATTAATATTCATGTATGTTAACAGTGTGTTCAGCTGTGTTAAGCCATCCACAGCTGAACACATTAACTTAATGTGTTCAGCTGTGTTAACATTCATGCCTTTTATTGTGTAGACACATATGTGTGTTAATACATGATTTGCTCATCAGCATTAACATTGATGCGTTTTAATTGCATTAACAATAATGCGCATTTTTGCGTTTTTTAATGCGTTAATGTTTTTATGCATGTAGGTTAACATATGTGTTCCCCTATGTAAAGCCATCTTTTTTAATAATCGTTTAAAAAGGATGACTGTTCTTAATAACCTATGTTACAATCAATCCTTTTTACTCATTACAAAAAGCTAAGCTAAGTGCACTTATTTTCTTCTCGACTAAATCTCAACCGATGCATTTATTCTCAATTTAAATCCTCAGCCCAGGAAAACGCACCGGATACCTTTCTGCCGGAAAAGTAAACCTCCCTTCTGTTAAAACTCCACTTCGATTTCGATTGATACATTTCGATAAAAATAGATATGAGTAAATAAAATTCTCTTTGAAATATATACACGACACAGAAAGTGTAGCGAGAAATCCTCAGAGGATCGGGAACGAAAAGGATTTGGCCATTCTTCACCCTGCATTCCTCCTCATCCTCCCCCCTCCCTAATCTTTATTTTTCAACAAGTTTGGCGCAACGAGTGCGCCACGTCTCGCAGGAAATCGGATTTATTGGTGCACACCAGTTTCACGGTTTTAGGCCTAAAGGACGGTTTAACGTTCTCCTTCTCAACCGATGTATTTTAAGTGCTTTCACTTTAGCTTCGCCTTCTTTCTTTTTATTTATTTATTTATTTATTCCCATTCCTCTGTTTTCGGTTTTGTTTCTGGGAAAAAAAAGAGTTTTGTTTTGCTTAATAGTTGGAAAATATTTTGCCTGTTTTTAAATTTGGAATAAGTCCTTTTTTCTGGAGTTATGGAGATACTACAAGATGGGTACATTATCATCATAAGAAAATGCAACACCTTCTTTGTATTAGAATCAGTTTTATTCAATAAGAATCATATTTTTGTTAATTCATCCAAAAACCTTTCACAATTATTTATTTATTTGAATATTTTACCAGAATTGGTTTGGAAAAGATTTGTAATAGTATTTTTCAACAGCCTCTTTTAATTCCAGCCAATAAAAATGGAATCTTTGTTACAGTTTTATTTCATCCTAAAACTTAAGGAGATACTAGATGGGTACATTATCATCATGGGAAAATGCAACACCTTCTTTATGTTAGAATCAGTTCTATGAGATAAGAATTATATTTTTTGTTAATTCATCCAAATATTTTTACAGCTATTTATTTGAATATTTTACCAGAATTTGTTTCGAAAAGATTTCTAATTGTATTTTTTATAGTTTCTCTTAATTTATGCCAATCAAATTGAACTTTTGCCACTGTTTTATCTCATCCTAAAATTTAAGGCTCTCAGTTCGTTTTAACAAATTAGCTTTTATAATTTTCATTTATTATCAGCTGGAAGGAATTGTTGAAACTTCTGTGATATTTTATTACTTATTACTTATTTGATTATTGTATAGTTGAAAATATTTTAACAGTTGAAATATTTTGCTGTTTTAAATGTGGAATAAGTCTTTTTTCTGGAGTTATGGAGATACAAGATGGGCACATTATCGTCATGGCAAAATGCAACACCTTCTTTATGTTAGAATCAATTCTATACAATAAGAATTATATTTTTTGTTAATTCACCAAAATGTTTCATTGTTATTTATTTAAATAATTTACCAGAATTGATTTCGAAAAGATTTGTAATTACATTTTTCAATAGTCTCTTGATATTTATGTGTGCTAATACATGGCTTGTTCACCTGCGTTAACATTGATGCATTTAAATGTATTACTATTCTTGTTTTAACTTCAACGACACGTTACACAAAGTGTTATATTAACATTCATACATTTTATTGTGCTAACATTTAGGTGTGCTGATACATGGTATGTTAACTTGCGATAAGATTCATGCATTTTACATGTTAATATTCATCTTTTAACTTCAATGGAACGTTACACAAACTATTATATCAATTAGATGTTACGTAGCCAACGGCCGTACCATGCTGAATATACCGGTTCTCGTTAGATCACCGAAGTCAAGCATCATTGGGCGCGGTCAGTACTTGGAAGGGTGACCACCTGGGAACACCGCGTGCCGTTGGCAAATTTGGGACCTGAATGGCCGAGTGTCTAGCGCTCTGGCGCTCGGTGCCACAGGTTTCGGGTTCGAATCCCGGCGGTGCCATGGATGTTTGTAGTGGTTCGGAATCCACTTTAAGCCGTAGGTCCCAGTCTCCTATGACTGTAAGAGCGTCACGGAGCAAAAGTCAGGCTTCTACCTACGGGTGCTCCATCGCAACAGAAGCTGCTTCCTTCCCCTTCAATCATGAGCACGTACGGGCTCGTGGGCTTGGCCAGCCAAGTGGGATAAGAAACAACAACAACAACAACAGATGTTACGTTTAACTGTTCTAACACATTGTATGTTCACATATTAATAATTTCTGTCTATCAAATTAATATCTTTGGTACTGTTTTATCTCACCTTAAAACATAAGGCTCTCAGTTCATTTTAACAAGTAAACTTTTATAATTTTAATTTCTTATCACTTAAAATTAATTGTTGAAACTTCTGCTTGATTTTTATTTATATTTTATTGATTTTTATCACATTATAAATATTTTGTAATCATGCCACAAATATTATTGCCAGTATTAGTTAAATTTTATAGATATTAATTTAATATCTACATAGGTAATGTAGTCGTATGTGTATTGTAATTGCTGGTCCCCTAATTCTGCTCATTAATTCATGGGACAATTAAGCTTACTGACCACTTTATAATAGGTACTACTACTTCGGTGAGTTAAATAATTTTCTACGATGACGGGACTGTAGTAATGGTTTAGCCTGTACTTTCAAATCGTATTGAAAAAAAAAACCCTACAAAATATTAATCAAACAATCTAATTAATGTCTATCACATAGAAATTTCGTATACCCTAACTACTATGCAATAGATATAATATAATTTCGTATTCGTATATCGTTATTTATATTTCATTATAAATTACGAAAAAGAAAAATGAAAGTTTTGGACCTCAATATTATTTAAAATTTAAAAATAATTTTTTTTAATGAGAATGTATTGGATATTGTAAAATTTTTTTGATAATATCTTAAAATTTTTATAAACATGCATATTAAGATTAAAATATATAGTAAAAGCTAAAGCATTATTAATGTCATTTAGTATAAATTGAACTTATTAAATTAATTAAAATTTATTGAACATATCTTTTGTCATTCCCACAATAAAAACATTTAAAAAATCAAAAGTAGAAATATATAGTAGCATTGAAATTTATTATAATAGATTATATTAAAAATAACTAATAGTAAAGTAGGAAAAATCCAATATCTTTTTATGAAAAGGAAAACAAAATAATTCGTAAGGCATCATCAGATATAATTTTTTGATGTTTTTTTTAAATCATTAATTTATACTAATTATCTAATTAAAAAAATTCTATAAGCATTTCATGAAAATTAAAATAAAATAATTCGTAAGGCATCATCAGATATAATTTTTTGATGTTTTTTTTAAATCATTAATTTACACTAATTATCTAATTAAAAAAATTCTATAAGCATTTTATGAAAATTAAAATAAAATAATTTGTAAGGCATTATCAGATGTAATTTACACTAATTATCTAATTGAAAAAATTCTATAAGATAATTATCAGATTAATTTTTTGATGTTTTTTTAAATCATTAATTTACACTAATTATCTAATTAAAAAAATTCTATAAGCATTTCATGAAAATTAAAATAAAATAATTTGTAAGGCATTATCAGATATAATTTTTTTAAGTTGTTTTAAATCGTTAATTTACACTAATTATCTCATTTTAATTCATTATAATTAACGGATACATATAAATGTATTTCCTTTTAATTACCATTATTTAATTAATACTCAAAAATTTGAAAAAAGAAAGAATATAATGATTATACTAATTTGTAAAATGCGAGAATATTTAGTGAACGAAAATTTCTGGAAATATTGTCATTTTTTTAATAAACAACAAATTTTTAATATCGTGCAAACAGCATTGAAATGTCTTTTTCAATTAAAAACATGTTTTTTTAATTCTACCGATTCGAGTGTAATTATTATTCATAAAAAAATACAGATACGTTTTTTTTCCTAATAGAAAAATGATCTTCAGCGCATTGTAACAGCCATCCGCCCTTCAACGACAGCTGGTGGGCTAGTTCAGCTGCGCTTTATCGCAGGGTTGTTACACAGCCCAAACACAACACAAAAGAATATCTTATATTCATTAATATCGTATTCGGAGGAATTGATTAGCGTTAAATTGAATGGGGAAAACCAACACAAAACATTATAAAGTAAGAAATAAATAAATAAAAAAAGTCATTGGAAAGAGGGGGAGAATGATGGGGGTGTATTGGGGGAGGGAATAGAACATTTTATTATTTCTTTCCAGTTCTTTCAACTTCATTTAATATCGCCCTTTGTGAGGCATAATTACACGAAAGAGTCATTTAGCGTTGAAAAACTGTATTTACAACCAAACACACGAAATAAATAAAAGTTAAGACTCATTCACCGCTTCAGCTTCTGTTGATGTAAAAAAATTTTTTAATTATGGATTTTAAATCTGTTTGAGCTAGTAATTACTCGTCTATTTGAACACTGCATTGTGCTTGATGAAAGACGGACAAAAAGTTATTTAAATATGTCTCTTTTAAGCAAAATATGTTTTTGTGACAATAATTAGTTTCTTGGCGGTTCCTTGGTTTTTTGTCGCCAAGCAGATTTGGATCTCATTTAAAATAAATAAGTTTGTGTATTTTTGTTAAAAATTTCGATTTCAGTTGTTTGTAACTGAAATATTTTATTGAATAAAATCTATTTTTAAATAAAAATAATCTAAGACATTATCAATTATGGGAATATGAATTAAAACCATGTTATTCTACGGAAATAGGGATTAATCTTCTACATAAATAAGTATTTTTCTGCCAATAGAAGACTATATATTGTCCTTATAATTAATTATGTATTTTAAATCTGTTTGAGCTAGTAATTACTGGTCTATTTGAACACTGCATTGTGCTTGATGAAAGGCGCACAAAAAGTTATTTAAATATGCTTCTTTTAAGCAAAATATGTTTTTGTGACAATAATTAGTTTCTTGGCAATATTTTTTGTCGCCAAGCAGATTTGGATCTTAATTTAAGATAAATATCCTAAAGTTTGTATATGCCTCGTTAAAATTTTGGATTTGAGTTATTTATAGATGAAATATGTTATTGAATAATATTTATTTTTAAATAAAAATAATTTCAATAATTGTGACAATAATTAGTTTCTTGGCAGTATTTTTTGTCGCCAAGCAGATTTGGATCCTATTTAAGATAAATATACCAAAGTTGTGTATTTTGAGTTAAAAATTTCGTTTTGAGTTATTTATAGAGGAAATATGTTATTGAATAAAATCTATTTATAAATAAAAATAATTTAATGCATTGTCAGTAGGGGGAATAGAAAATAGTGCCATGTTATCTATGGAAACATGAATTAATATTCTAAATAAATACGATTTTTCTGCCACTAAATGATTATGTATTGCTTTTATAATTAATTATAGATTTTAAATCTGTTTGAGCTAATAATTACTCGTCTATTTGAACACTGCATTGTGCTTGATGAAAGAGGGACAAAATGTTATTTAAATATGTTTCTTTTAAGCAAAATAGTTTTTGTGACAATAATTAGTTCCTGGGCGGTATTTGTTGTGGCGAAGCAGATTTGATCCCATTTAAGATAAATATATTTCGAAGTTTGTGTATTTCGAGTTAAAAATTTCGATTTGAGTTATTTATAGCTAGAATCTGTTATTGAATGAAATTTCTTTCTAAATAAATGTAACTTAATACATCATCTATGGTGGGAATATAAAATGAAGCCATATTATATGAATAAATATTCTACATAAATACGAATTTTTCTACCAATATTGGTAGCAAAATTCGTTTAAGCAGCAAAATAAATTTTGCCTCTAAAATTTATATTTTTATAAAAAATAATCAATAAATTTATTTTAGATTTTTTATATGTTTTTTTTTTTTTTTTTTTTTTTTTACTTTTCAATTTGTTTGATGTTATACTTTATTCGTTTTTCGTATGAATGGAATCAATTTAATTTTAATACTTTCAGGGATAAAAAGTCTAGATTCGGTTTTAAATTCCAAATATAGGTAATCTCTAAAATGAAAATAATCATTAATAATTTAACTATTTTCATTTATTGGAGCTGCTTTGCATATCGTTTCAGTGTCTCTAGCATTGTGGCGTTGTATTGTGACACTATATTTTACTCCATGTACCTTTATTGTATTAGTCATAGAATTCTTTTTAAAGCAGAAATTACATTCAAAAGTAGTGGCCTGGGTCTATTCCTGGTTTACATTAAAACATTTAGCCTTTTAGGAGATGATTTCTGCTCTCGTAGAGAACCATTTAGTTATGCAATGACCCTATAATTTCATATGCCCCTCTAAACAATTTTACATTCAGTGGCACAGAAATATAATATACAACTCATGGAAAACCATCCATTTAATGAATTTAAAGCAGAAAATAAACAATTAATCATGTCAACAAACCATTACTCCTGAAATAATAAATGAATTCTCAGCGCCTATTATTTCATTTTATTCACTAGCATTTTGTTATTTCATACTCCTCAACTGAAAGCTGTAACAGCTGTATATCATGGCATACCATATTTTCATATAATGTTTATAATTATTGTTTCCATATTGTTATTCTTCCTGTATTATATACTTTTTGTTTCTCTCATGCTTATGTTAGTACAAAGTAATTCTGTTATACATTTTTAGCATGACTATTTTGTTATTTTATATTCTGTGCTAAACATTGTCGTAATACTTATATACTATAGCATATCATAGTTTCATATAATGCTTATAATTATTGTTTCTATATTGCTATTCTTTCTTCAATCTATACTTTTGATTTCCCTCATATATATATATATATAAAATACATTTTCTATCTTAAGATATAAGGTAATTCTGTTATTTTATTTTTCAAATTAT